TACATACATACATACATACATACATACATACATACATACATACATACATACATAATTGCATATATACAATCACACAACGCAATTAACAGTGCTGTACACACAAAACAAGCCCGGCTAGCTCAGTCGGTAGAGCATGAGACTCTTAATTTCAGGGTCGTGGGTTCGAGCCCCACGTTGGGCGTAATTTGTTTTCCAGTTTTACAGACAAAAAACGTAAAAAATCTTTGTTTGAAAATAAATGACGAACATACATACGTATACAAAGACATACATACAGACTTACAGGCATTCACACCTTAACGCCTAGACATATACATGTGTACATATGTACATGCATATATGAGAATCTTAACATCAGGGTAGTGGTTTGAGCCATACGTTGTGCGTGTATTGATTTACCAAATTTCCTTTTCTAGATGAATTAAGTAATCTTTCTATCTACATACTGTCGTGTTAGGTTCATATATACGAGGATGCCCTTTTAGAGTTCTCACGAAGCTCTTTTATTCACATGCTTCCATCACAAATGCACAGGTAGCTTAGCTCTAACTCTGCTGTCTTAACGCAGCTTTCAATCCACATAGGACCATGGTCTGCCCCCTGGTGGCAGTACACATATACGTCAATGCAATAACATTAGTTTACACCACATCCCCCTTACTGAAGTTAGGTTGACACATTACACCCATAGCTTTCACAGTAAACAAAAATACACTTTAAATTATTACCAATCACTTTGGGTCAATTAACTCTTATCCGGGAGACATTCTCTGTTCTATCTAACCAATATCCTTACATGTTCTTTCTTATTATGTCAATATGCATACATAACTCTGCACATTAGAACGGTAACAGACTTTTTTCTCATTTCGCATCACAGATTGAGTCTTTTGGGTTTGATGACTTCTCTCCCATACCTGGTTCTGACAATACCTGGTGTTACCGGTGTAGTACTCTCAGAAACTGTCTCTGTTGTAGTATCTTCACTTGATTGGATCTGCTGTTGCTCAGTCTGTATTGCAGTGTCCGGTATAGGTACAAGATGACTGCGGTTCCTTCTGATTGTTCCTTGTGGCCCCCTGATGACGTAGGAGTGCGGAGTTGTATGAACTGTTGTCAACTTGCCTTGTGCTTTGGCATCTGTTATCCAGACTGGGTTTCCTGGCAACAGTTTGTCCAAATCTATTGTTCTGTGTCTTTTGTTAAAACATTCAACCTGTCTCATCCTTCTCTCCCTCTCAGAGTGACGCATCTGCTGCAAATCCGGTAAACATGGCAGCAGTGTCTCTGGAAGTACAGGTAGCGTTGTACGGAGTCTACGCCCCATGAGAAGCTGAGCCGGGCTGTAGCCGTTCGCAAGTGCTGTGTTCCTGTAGGCCAACAAAGCTCTATACGGATCACTAGCCTTTTTCAGTAGATTCTTGACCGTCTGAACTGCCCTTTCAGCCTCGCCGTTACTCTGGGGGTACCTAGGACTACTGGTTACATGTTCAAAACAGTACTCTTTTGCAAAATCTAACATTTCCTGGCCTGAAAATTGCGGACCATTGTCAGTTATCAGTGTCTCAGGTATTCCATGGTGTGCAAAAATGACTTTAAATGCACTATAACATTGACAGATCGAGTTGGACTGAGCTGAGCTATTTCTACATATCTCGAAAAATAATCCACAAGTAACAAATAGTTTTGCTCTTTCACTGTAAACAAATCAGCTCCCAACTTCTGGCATGGCCTGTCTGGTAGATCTGTTGGCATCAGAGGCTCTCTCGGATTAGCTCTTTCCTGTGTGTACTGTCTACATTTTAACACCAACTCACTGATCTGGTTACTTAACCCAGGCCACCACACTGCTTGACGAGCACGTTCTCTACATTTAACCACTCCCTGATGACCCTCATGTATTTTTTCTAAAACTGCATTTCTCATGTTAGCAGGGATAACTAACTTCGTGCCTCGCAGTAATAGATCATTGTGTACACACAAAACTGCTCTATCGGGCCAGTAATGCTTTACCACTCCTTGTAGCCGGTTCCTGTCTGGCCAGCCTTCCGTACAGTACTTCATGACCTGAGAACAGACGCTGTCGGACTGCAGTTGCTCCTTAAGATCTGCAAGATATTTGCTGCTTGTAGGAAGTCCCTCTAGCACAGAGTCAACATAAATGTTAGTGTCCTCCATCAGATCTGCATCTCTGCAAGTAATGCTGTTAGTTAGTGGTAAGCGTGAGAGTGTGTCAGCTGTGGTGAGGTTTTTGCCAGGGATGTGCTGTATGGTGTACGAGTACCTCATTAATCGCATACGAAATCTCTGTATTTGCGGTGGCAGCGCATCCAAAGCTTGTCCTCCCAGCAAGGTCACAAGTGGTTTGTGGTCCGTTTCGAGTTCAAAGTTCAATC